TTTTTTCTATATATATTAGTTGGCCAATTAATTTCTTTCTATTTATAGTAGAGACGGGGTCTCGCTCTTGCTCAGGCTGGTTTTGAACTCCTGACCTCGAGTAATCCACCCGCCTCGGCCTCCCAGAGTGCTAGGATTACAGGCGTGAGCCACCTCGCCGGGCCTTGTAGTTTAATTAACAAGCCTAAACAGTCACTCATTTTAGGAATACTGTTCAATGAGTTTTAGTATAATACACATACACTGGTGTGCAGAAGTTTCCTCCTTCCACTGCCCCTAGGCAACCACTAATCTTTCTATCACCTTAGTTTTACCTTTTCTAGATTTTCATATACATGGAATAATACAGTACAATGTTTTTTGTGTCTGGCTTCTTTCACTTAGCACAGTGTTTTTGAGTTCATATCAGTAATTCATTTCTTTTTATTGCTAAATATTAATAGTATTCCATTCTATGGCTATACTATTCACCTGTTGATATAGGTGTTTTTCATTTTTTTGGCTATTCTGAGTAATGCTTCTATGAACATTCATATATGGGTTTTTGTTTGGACATATGTTTTTTATCTTTTCTTTTTGAGATAGAGTCTCGTTCTGTCACCCTGACTAGAATGCAGTGGCATCATCATAGCTCTCTGCAACCTCAAACTCCTAGGCTCAAGTGATCCTCTTGCCTCAGCCTCTCGAGTAGCTGGGACTACAGGTGCCCACCACCACACCCGCCTAATTTTTCTATTTTTTGTAGAGATAGGGTCTTGCTCTTGCTTAGGCTGCTCTCGAACTCCTGAGCTCCAGCAATCCTCCTGCCTCAGTCTCCCAGAGTGCTAGGATTACAGGTGTGAGTCACCACGCTTGGCCTGGACATATGTTTTCATTTCTCGTTGGTGGATACTGATAGAACAGTCTTGTTTTTTTTTTTGAGACAGAGTCTCACTTTGTTGTCCAGGCTAGAGTGAGTGCCGTGGAGTCAGCCTAGCTCACAGCAACCTCAAACTCCTGGGCTCAAGCGATCCTACTGCCTCAGCCTCCTGAGTAGCTAGGACTACAGGCATGTGCCACCATGCCGCATTAATTTTTGATATATGTAGTCAGCGGCCAATAATTTACTTGCTATTATAGTAGAGACAGGGTCTGCTCTTGCTCAGGCTGGTTCTGAACCTCCTGACCTAGAGCCAAATCCGGCCCGCTGGCCTCCCAGAGTGCTAGGACATTACAGCGCGTGAGCCACTGCGCCTGGCCAAGGGTCTTGTTAATGGGGTAATGAGAAAATAAATTTCCAACTGGTAGCCACTTAGAATAGCATAAACCCTTCCTCTGAGGTTAGTAACAAAATACTCCTCTCTACAGAGATGTTTACCTAGCAATTGAAAGAAGCTGAGAAGACAAAAGAAGGTATAAATCCTCATTAAACATTCGACAGAGCTGGTCAATTCACATTCCAAAAGCAAAGAAAGTTTCTGGGAAAAGGGAGGAAAGGAAGACTCATCTGAAGGACCATCACCAAAATTTACTGCCTGTAAAACTTTTTTGATGTTGTTTAAACAGCCTTGAAAAAGTTCCTGAGCGGACAGGAGTGTTAACGCCCCCTGCTTCCTCAAGAAGAGACAGTACCAGATGCCTTCTGCTACAAGAAGAAATTAATTTCTGCTATCAATCTGCTACATCGAGAACAGAAAACTGCAAGACAGCAGCCTTCAACAGGCTTTTTTATCTCAGTCCCCCTGAAGCAGAGGACAAAAAAAATTCTGCTCCTGTTAATAAGCACCAATAACTTTTTTCCACCACCCCAACCATTTCTTTCCTCCTTTATTTTTCCTCCTCTTTATTTAGTTTGAACCATGCGTCAGCCAGTACAAGCAACCTCAAACTCCTGGGCTCAAGCAATTCTCCTGCCTCAGCCTCCCGAGTAGTAGGACTCACAGGCTATGCCACCATGCCCACTAATTTTTCTATATATTTTTAGTTGACAGTTAATTTCTTTCTATTTTTAGTAGAGAGAGCGCTCCTCTTGCTCAGGCTGGCTCCAACTCGCTGACCTGAGTAACTGGCCCAGCCTTGGACTCCCGGAGTGCTAGGAGTTACGGGCGTGAACGCCACGGCCTGGCCTCACTCTCTCTTTATCTCCCTCTCTCCCTTTATTTCTTTCTTGGGAAAACAATAAATACTTGCATTTGTATACCCTAATCTTGTCTGAATTCTTTCTCCCTCAATACAGACTTCATACGCTAACAGCATAAGGTAGAATTTGCGTGGGCACTATGGGAAGTACGTATTAAACTTTATAAGAAACTTCAAACTGTTCTTCAAACGTGCTGCACCAATTTGCACCCCACTAACATGCGAGGCTTCCAGTTGCCTCCACATATTCCAATGTATTTGTTTTTTTTTTGGGGTATTTTTTTTTTTTTGTCAAGTTTTTTTAAAAGCTTGTCTAGTTAGGACGGACTAATTGGGTTTAATCTATTTTCCCAGAATGACAAACGTATGCATTTACCTGCTGGACATTCGATGTATCTTCTTTTGTGAAATGTCTGTTAAATCTTCTTTTTCCCCAAAGCCTCCCTACTGAGGGAGAAAGTGTCAAATATTTTGCTCATGTTTTTTTTATTTTTTGCTTTTTGCAAAACGTGTCACTTCTGTGCCGCCTGGCTAGAGTGCCATGGCATCACGCCTAGCTCACCAGCAACCTCAACTCCTGGCTGCAGGTAGATCCTCCTGCCAGCCTCCAAGTAGCCTGGAACTGATAGGCCATGTGCCACCATGCCCGGCTAATTTTTTTGTTATATATATCTTCAGTTTCCAGATAATTCTCTTTAATTTTTAGGAGCAGACGACTCTTGCTCTTTGCTCAGGCTGTCTCGAACTCCTGAGCTTAAACAGCCACCGTGCCTCGGCTTCAGAGTGGTAGGATTACAGGGTGACCACCACGCAGGACCTACTCATTTAAAAGTTTGTGTTATTGTCTTATTCTATTTGAAATTTTTTTTTTTTTCTGGAGACAGAGTAATCCTGCTGTTGCCCTCCATGAAGGAAGGCAGCAGCATCATCATAGTCACGCAACCCAACCTGGGCTCAAAGCGGATCACTCCCGCCTCAAGCCTCCTGAGTAGCTGGGATACAGGTGTTCAACCATACACCCACCTAATTTGTTCTATTTTTGGTAGAGACAGGTCTCACTCTATGTCAGGCTGGTCTCCAACTCTTGACTCAGCAATCCTCCTGCTTTGCCTTCCAGAGTGTAGATTACAGGCCAGTGAAGCCACACAATGCAAGTCCTCCATGAAAGTTACCTTTACATCATCTGATACAAGATCTGTAAGCAGGATACGGATGCTTGCAATATTTTTCTTCTGATGCTGTGACTTGCCTTCTTCATTCACAAGTCAATTTTAATGGTGTTGAGTAACGTCTCCCTCCAGAAAACTCAAGAAAGAAGAGACGTAAGTCACTTTTGCCTGACACCGTGGCAAAATGCCAGGCAGCAGCATAATAGTCAGGGCTGTTCAAACTGTATGTGTTATTTGAGGGGATTTAGAATAACCTATAAATCTGAAGTCTCCCTGGTCCACCAAGGGAGACCCAGGCTTAAAGTTCTAAACGAGCGAGTTCTCTGGGGGCAACAACAACCAGGAGTATTCGGACTCAAATATCCGATTTCTAATAAGGCATTCATTGAGGTCCCGCATGGCTGTCCTCCTGAAACTCCAGAATTTCAGTAAAGGGGCTTAGAGTTCTGGTGGAGAGGGTTTGCAGCTGCATTTGCATGTAACTACACATCAACTTTTCTTAACTGCGCTTGTTTACAGATAAGCTTGTGAGACTATGGAAGGGCCGGCCACTAAAAAGCCACTTCCAGACAATCTTTGGGTGCCCGTCTCCTGGAAGCCCCTGCTGCCCCACAGCGACACAGGAGGCGCCAGGGCGACAGGGTTGGAGTGAGGAAAACTTGCCGCAAGCGGTACGTTCCCTTCATAAAGTATATAATGCCACTTGGTCCGGCGCGCACCGGTAGCGTACGGAAAGCCTTGCCCACGCGGGCACTCAATAGTCCACAGACAGTTTGTGCTGTGCATTGAACGACGAATCCGTTTTTGCTTTGTGTGATGAGAGAAGCTTATAAAGAGCTGAAAGCTTGTTATACTTGACGATGCGCTTTACTTGTATCAGACAAGCTAACAATATACATATACGTCGTATTTACCTTTAATGATTATAATGAAAATCAATCATTAGACTAGGTGACACCGCCTGGCGCCTCTACCACGGCTATACGCTGCGCGCTCATCCTGTGGCCGGGCTTTCGCTCCTACGGAAGTGTTTAGTAAGCGTCCCTGAGCATCGGACCAGGGCGTTGGGAGTCCGAGAGAGGAGGGGGCCCGCCCAACCTCATCTCTTTCACATTACTGAGGGTCCGCCGAGCGGACACCGAGGAGAGACAGAAGATTTCCGCAGGCACGTGTACTTAACGGGCATTTCTAGCGCACATGTTCCAAGCCTTTGAGATCATCCATGTATTCCGTGATCCATAGCTGCCAAGTGGGCGTTCAGATAAGGCGAGTGACATCGGGGTGCGACTCGCACTCAGGGACGCCTTCGGTTTGAGTCTCGCGCGGGAGGGCAGGTTCGCTGGCGCCCAGCCAGCTGGGGCTTCCGGGCTGCAGCGGTCCTGGACCAGGTCACTGGTACCGTCGGCGAACGTCGGCAGTCACTGTGATCGCGGGAGCACGGCAAAAGATGCCCAAGAGGCTCGTAGGCGGTGCGTGCGGTCACGATTGGGATTGTTGGCTGGACACCTTCCCGCGCTCGATGTCACAGTACCGCTCAAGCAACTATGGCGGCTGCCGTGGTGCACGCAGATGTAGCGAAGCGGACTGCAGTGGCTCCTCACCCTGGGTGAGGGTGGCCTCCAACGTGGATGGGGATCGCGTCCTCGCACCTCCCTTGTGCCGCGCGCCCTGAATTCACACGCCGCTCTGCGCGGTGTGTCAACTGAGGGGGGAGCGTGACCGGGCGGTCCTCCACCGTACCCTCAGGGCAGCCCTCTCCGGTGCCTCCTCGCCTGGCTCCTCATCTTCCTTTTCACTTCTCTTTGCAGTGAGATCGTCGGTGGGACCGGAGCGCGGGCGGGCGCGGTCCCCCGGGACTATGGCCGGGTCCGACACTGCGCCTTTCCTCAGCCAGGCGGATGACCCGGACGACCGGCCGGTGCCCGGCACCCCGGGGTTGCCAGGATCCATGGGGAACCCGAAGTCCGGAGAGCCTGAGGTCCCGGACCGGGAGGGGCTGCAGCGCATCACAGGCTTGTCTCCAGGCCATTCGGCTCTCATAGTGGCCGTGCTGTGCTACATCAACCTACTGAACTACATGGACCGCTTCACCGTGGCTGGTAGGTGAAACTTCTGGGAGGAAGATAACCAGGAGAAAGGAAGGGGGTCCCGTGGATGGAGCTGCTTCGCCGGCCTATCCCTGAGTCTCCTTTCCAGGTGTCCTTCCGGACATTGAGCAGTTCTTCAACATCGGAGACAGCAGTTCTGGCCTCATCCAGACCGGTGAGTAGAGGCAGCTCTGCTTCCTTTCCTACTGCAACTGGGGCCATGTGCTGTCCTGCCTGGGGCCTCATTAATGGGGTTTAGTGGCCAGAGCTGGGGGAGGTGATAGCTCTGATTTTGCTCTGTGCGTGTTCTGTTTAGCCAGGACACCACATTTAAAGAGGGAGTCAGTTTAGCTAATGGTGAAGACAGACCTGGGTTTAAATCTCAGCTCTTCCTTACTGTTCCAGGGTAGGCAAGGCACTCAACCTCTCTAAGCCTCATTTTTCTTGTCTATGAGATGGAACTAGTAGTAACACAGGTCATCTCGTAAGGCTGATGTGAGGATTAAATGAAATGCCTTTGAAGTGCCTAGTGCTGTGTTTGGCACATGGTAGGCACCCAATAAATAATGGGAGGAGAGGGTGTCTAGACCAGAGGGGAATTTTTTCTTGTTCAGAAATCTGGGTTGCAGGAGAGGCAAAGCCAGAGCCATGTCCTCTCTTCCTTCCTTCCCTCCTTTGTTCATTTCTCAAACGTTTCTGAGAACCCACTATGCCAGGCCCTGGAGGAAGTGATGAAAACAACTACAGGACTTTGCCAATACCTTTTATGCCTGTCTCTTCTAATCCTTGCATCAGCTGAGGAATAGGCGTTATTATTCCTATTTTATAGAGGAAGTGGGTAGTGTTATCTACAGTTTGTAAAGAAACTGAGGCTTGGAGAAGAGTTAAGACTTGCCCAGGGGCCAGATGTAGTGGCTCACACCTGTAATCCTAGCACTCTGGGAGACCAAGGTGGGAGGATCCCTCAAGGTCAGGAATTCAAGACCAGCCTGAGTAAGATCAGCAAGAGTAAGACCCATCTCTACTAAAAATAGAAAGAAATTAGCTGGACAACTAAAAATATGTAGAAAAAATTAGCCAGGCATGGTGGTGCATGCCTGTAGTCCCAGCTACTCGGGGGGCTGAGGCAGGAGGATTGCTTGAGCCCAGGAGTTTGAGGTTGCTGTGAACTAGCTTGATGCATGGCACTCTGGCCCAGGCAATAGAGTAAGGCTCTGTCTCAAAAAAAAAAAATAAAAAAAAATATACTTTCCCAGGGTCCACAACAAGTTAGAGACAGAATAGGAATTTGAAACCAGGTCTTGCAGTATTCTTTTCTCCCCATAGTTCTGGGCCATCATATGAGGAACTGGAGGTATTTAGGGGGAAGTGTGGAGCAATGCGAATGGGATCAGAGGGCAAGGTCTGCAAACCTCTGAAGAGCTGCTGAATTAGGGAAGAAGCAGACCATTCTAGGCAGCCCCATTTATTCACTTTTTCATTCAGCATGTTTATTGAGCACCTGTTTTGTGCTAGGCTATATGCTAAGCGATAGAAGCGCAGTCATAGCCAATATAAGCAAGGTCCTTGCCTTGGGAGTCGACGTTCCACTGTGCATAAGGGGGCAACAGTCAGTAAAACCCTCAATTAAAATTAAACAGTTTCGGCCAGGCGCAGTGGCTCACGCCTGTGATCCCAGCAGTCTGGGAGGCCAAGGCAGGTGGATCGTTTGAGCTCAGGAGTTTGAGACCAGCCTAAGCAAGAGCGAGACCCTGTCTGTACTAAAAATAGAAAGAAATTACTTGGACAGCTAAAAATATATAGAAAAAATTAGCCAGGCATGGCAGTGCATGCCTGTAGTCCCAGCTACTCAGGAGGCGAGCTAGGCTGATGCCATGGCACTCTAGCCCAGGCAACAAAATGAGACTCTGTCTCAAAAAAAAAAAAAAAAAAAAAAAAAAAAAAAAAGAAACAGTTTCCATAGTCATAAGTGCTGTGTAAAAGGAAACAGAGTAAATATGTGGTAGAGAGGGACCAGATATGTGGAGGGCTAGGAAGGTATCTGAGCTGGAACCTGAAGGAGCTAAGTTCTGCAAAGCTCAGGGGAGAGGAGAGAATGTCCCAGAGGGTACAGCAGCTGCCCGAACCCCAAAGATTTTATTGACGTTGGCAGTTGGGCTACTGGGATGCAGAGAGAGGAAGGGAAAGTGGGTGGCCCTGAGGTTGGAGAGGTATGCAGGGGCTAGATTGGAAAGGGCATTGTGGGCCATAGTTACGGTGTTTGGAGTTTGTTCTTAGGTGGGAGGAAGTGACAAGTCAGCAGGACCATCCATTCTACAATGGAAGGTGTGGAAAGACGTTGAAGATGGGGCTGGACTGTTCCCCTAGCAGGAAGCTCTGATGGGTTTCAGGGTTGGGATATGGGGGTTATGTGCAGTCAGGGAGAAGAGGGTGGGTGTCTCTTTGCTTTAGTCATTCCAGCTGGGGGCGGGGTAGGGGCATGGGCACTGGGGCTGGGCTGTGACTCTTTCCTTCCCCCCAGTGTTCATCTCCAGTTACATGGTGTTGGCACCTGTGTTTGGCTACCTGGGTGACAGGTACAATCGGAAGTATCTCATGTGCGGGGGCATTGCCTTCTGGTCCCTGGTGACACTGGGGTCATCCTTCATCCCCAGAGAGGTGAGGCCCCAAGCTGGCTCCTGCTTCTACCTGCCCCCACGCCCCCAGTCTGCCGCTGCTCCTGGGAGTCATTTCAGACTGGGCCTGGAGACCTCTGCAGTGTCCTTAGCCAATGCCATCTTATACCCCCTCCTAGCCTGAGTTAATCTGCCCACCCTACCCCCTTTCCTTTTCTTCTAGATCCTTTTGTCCATCATCCCCTCTTCCTCTGACCACTTACTCCTTCCACTCCATACCTAGACTCTATGCTTCTCTGCCATGGCAAAATCCTTTCTGTCCCTCTCTCCCTCTTTGCCTTCCTGGTCAGGCTTCCCGAAAGGCCCCCTGGATCCCTCCCTCGCCTCCCGCTCACATCCTTGCACCCACTGCTCTGTGACCCTGCTCTTTCCAGAGTCTGAGTGGCCTCCTGGTGATAGATCTCCGGAGCTTCTGGCACTATTGACCCACTTCCTCCTTCCTGAAACTCTTTTCTAATTTATATGATGCCACACTCTTCCAGTTTTCCTCCTGCCTCCCCGGCAGGTGCTTCTTTGCTCCTTTGAAGTCTCCTCTGTCACTTCTCACTGTGCACTCTGTCCTCAGCCCCGGGCCCTGCATGGGTGGTGTACCCGTCCTTAGCTTCAGGTGTCTTTGGTAGAGAAATCATCTCCCACCTAGAATTGTTATTCACCACCAGAGTGTCTTATTTAGACCTCTTATTATCCAATCCTCACAATAGCTATGTGAATAAGTCGTTATCCTCCTTTTGCAGATGAGGAAACTGAGGCTCAGAGAGGTTAAGTTACTTTCCCAGAGTCACAGCTAGTCAGTGGTGGAGCCGGCATTCAAGCTCAGGTCTGTCTAATTGTAAAATCCAGGCCTCTCCTGCTATCCCTGCTGCCTCATCGGAGCCGGCTGGCGAGGTGGCCCGGGAGGCCGCTGCAGGGCAGGGCGCCACCTCTCCCTGTCTCGTTCCCTAGCGTTTCTGGCTGCTCCTCCTGACCCGGGGCCTAGTGGGGGTCGGGGAGGCCAGTTACTCCACCATCGCCCCCACACTCATCGCTGACCTCTTTGTGGCCGACCAGAGGAGTCGAATGCTCAGCGTGTTCTATTTCGCCATCCCGGTGGGCAGGTGAGGGGTCCCTGGGCCTGGTGGGGAGGCAGATGGGCCTGGCATGGGGGACTTGACTGACTGGCTGTCACCTCTTTTTCTCATCCCCCCCACAGTGGTCTGGGTTACATTGCAGGCTCCAAAGTAAAGGATGTGGCCGGAGACTGGCATTGGGCTCTGAGGGTGAGTCTAGTCATGGCCTGGGGCAGGTCAGCGATGTTCTCACTGATCCCCCTTTCCCCTTCAGACACCCCCTTTCTGAGGCCGTGCTCCCTCTGCAGGAACCTGGCCACCCTTACCATGAAGCCATGTGCTAGACAGAACTCTTGCTTGCAGGTGACAGAAACCCATTGTAAGCCCCCAAAAGGGACTGTATTGGCTTTCTTCATGGAAAGTCCCAGGGTGAGCTTCAGGTAAAGCTGGATCCAGGCTTCCACACCATCACAGGAATTTAATCGTCCTCTTCTCAGCTTTACTTTCCTCTGTGTTACCTTTATTCTCAAGCATGTGAAGCTCCAAATAATTATCTTCCCATTTAGAAACATCAGCATCTCGGATCCTTGAGCTGTAGTCCTGGGACAGTGTCTGATTAGATGAGTGTGGCTCGCATGCCTGCTGTGGAATCAGTCATCGAGGCTGGGCTGGTGGCAGCACTTTCACTGGCCAAGCCTAGAATCCTGCTTGAACCATGTGGGTTGAGAGAAGCTGGGGGAGTGGTTTTCCAAATGAAAATTAGGATGCAGTTACCAAAAAGGAAGCAAAGTTAGGCTTACAAAAATATGGTGGCCCCTAGTAGCAACACCCCCATTATAGGTCAGCTTGTTTGAGCAGGCACATGGGTGTTTGAGGTTTTGGGCCCAAGTTGTCTCTACCCCCTCATTCTCCCCAGCTCCAGGGGTTGTGCCTGCCTGTCCTGAAGCCAACTCTCTCCCCAGGTGACACCAGGTCTAGGAGTGGTGGCTGTTCTGCTGCTTTTCCTGGTAGTACGGGAGCCACCGAGGGGAGCTGTGGAGCGCCACTCTGATTCGCCACCCCTGAGTCCCACCTCATGGTGGGCAGATCTGAGGGCTCTGGCGAGAAAGTGAGTTTAGTCCCTTCCTAGACCAACATCTGAGGTCCCCCAGGAAGTCCCTGACATCTGAGATTTCCATGGCCATGTTCATTGTTTTCTTTTCTGCCAACCGGCCCACCCCAAGGCCAGGAATCAGTCACAATTGCCCCCTTGTGCCAGCTTCTTGAATTACAGGCCCACATCCTGGGAGCTAGGACAGCCTTCAGTGTTCTGGCCTTACTAAAATAAGCTAGACTGTCCTTTTCTTGGCAGGGACTGGGCATGTGGTCCCACTCCCTGCTATGTACAAAGGCAGAGGGAAAGGGCTCCAGCCCCCTCAGGGTCACGCTGTCAATGTTGGTGGCTTCCCATCTGCTGGTTCTATCCTCACGTGCTAGGATCCTGGGCAAGAAAAACAAAAATAGGCCAGAAAGGAGGAGAGAGGCCCCTCCTGCCTCAACACCTCCATGGAGTCTGACTTCCGCCCTCCCAACTCTCTGCAGTCCTAGTTTCATCCTGTCTTCTCTTGGATTCACTGCTGTGGCCTTTGTCACGGGCTCCCTGGCTCTGTGGGCTCCCGCATTCCTGCTTCGTTCCCGGGTGGTCCTGGGGGAGACCCCACCCTGCCTTCCTGGAGACTCCTGCTCTTCCTCTGACAGGTACCCAGGGCGGCTGGGCTAGGTGGCTTGCAGATGGCAGGGATGGAAAGAAGAGGGTCTGTGATTCACACCCAGGCACGGAGGTCCAATCCCAACTCCACACGCTGCGTCTTCTCCCAGAGTTTGTTTCCTGGTCTGGGAAACATGTGATGGGATAACACCTGCATCTCAGGGCAGTGTGACCTCGGGGTGCTGTGCCGGGATGGACCCGATTGTGGGGGTGGCTGGGATGGGCCGTCTTCCTCTGCAGGCCATGGGGGCCAGCCTGGGGGCTGCGCAGGCAGGACTGGCCCCCATACCCCTTCCCCATCCCCCAGTCTCATCTTTGGGCTCATCACCTGCCTGACCGGGGTCCTGGGTGTGGGCCTGGGCGTGGAGATCAGCCGCCGCCTGCGCCGCTCCAACCCCCGGGCAGACCCGCTGGTCTGTGCCGCTGGCCTCTTGGGCTCTGCACCATTCCTCTTCCTGTCCCTTGCCTGCGCCCGCGGTAGCATCGTAGCCACCTATGTGAGTAGTCGGCAGGTGACAAGAGGGGTGGTCTGGGTCCGGGGTGGGGAGGAACAGTGTATTGGGGAGGACTGGCGTTAGCCAGCGTGGTTGTTCCAGGCCTGCTCTCGGTGGAATGCCTGGCTTTGAATCAGCTCTGTGACACCGGGCAACCGCTTAACCTCTCTGTGCTCACTTTTGTTATCTAAAATGGGGGTAATAGTAGCACCTGTGTCACAGGGGTATGGTGATGATTAATGAGTTAATAGAGGAGCCTGGGATGGGTGCACACCTGTTTATGACCTTGTTGTGATAAGATCCTACCCACTCCCGTCCCCCAGATTTTCATCTTTATTGGAGAGACGCTGCTGTCCATGAACTGGGCCATCGTGGCTGACATCCTGCTGGTGAGTGGCTGGGCAGCTCCGTGGTTAGCCCAGAGCCTACTTCCGGAGGCCTCACTCACCCGCTCTAGACTGCAGGCTCCGGCCCACAGCCCTGGCTTGCCCTGTGACCTCATCCCCAGTCACACCTCTGACCCCAGCCTTGGCCCCGACCTGGCCCCCTGCCCCTGCTCCTGTGAGCCCCACTGAGCTCCTGCTCCCCCTAGTACGTGGTGATCCCCACACGACGGTCCACCGCCGAGGCCTTCCAGATCGTGCTGTCCCACCTGCTGGGTGACGCTGGGAGCCCCTACCTCATTGGCCTGGTGAGCACTGCCCCTCGGCCGGGATGGGATGGGGAGTAGGTAGGGGACCAGGCACGGGCACTCCTGCCACTGCCAGTGGCTTGAGCCTGGCCACGTCGGAAGCTCTGGCCCCTTTCAGGCATCTGTGTCTCCTGTGCTCACCTACCGTCCTCAGCTGGAGGGCGAGGATTTTGTCTTGGAAGATTCTACCCATGAGGCCAGAGAAGACCTTGCCTTGCCGGTCCAAACTGTCTTCCCTTTTCCAGGCTCCATTTTCCTTTTTTCCTGGAGTTTGGGGGCTCCTCCCTGGGTCTCTCCCTGACTCTCCTGTCCCCTTCCTCCCGCAGATCTCTGACCGCCTGCGCCGGGGCTGGCCCCCCTCCTTCTTGTCCGAGTTCCGGGCCCTGCAGTTCTCTCTCATGCTCTGTGCCTTCGTCGGGGCGCTGGGCGGTGCGGCCTTCCTGGGCACCGCCATCTTCATTGAGGGCGACCGCCGGCGGGCCCAGCTGCACGTGCAGGGTCAGTTGGAGGCTGCACCCTGCCCAGCTGCTCGGTGCTGCCTGTCTGTCTGTCTGTCTATGTCCCTCAGTCCACAGTTCTCCCTCTATTCAGCTTTGGGCCTGTCTGGGTCCACAGCTCTGGTGCTCTCTGCTGCTGCCCCATCTGTGTTCCAACATCTGCGTGTCCCTGCTCTGGCTTTGTGTCTGTCCATCCAGCCCCAGCTCTGACCCTTCCCCCGCAGGTCTGCTGCCCGAGGCAGGGCCCGCAGATGACCGGATCGTGGTGCCCCAGCGAGGCCGCTCCACCCGGGTCCCTGTGTCCAGTGTACTCATCTGAGAGGCTGTTGGATACCTGTGTATACATCTGTCAGCAGTGGCCCAGGGCTTGCCCCACAGGGTGCATGGACCTAAACGTTTGGCCTGGCCCGGCTTCCAGGAGGGACCGTGGGCTGTGTCCCAGCTCCCAGACACTACATAGGCAGCCCAGGGGAGGAGGTGGGGGTCCAGGAGTGGAATCCCCTCCACAGGGGCAGCCCCAGGAGCTCGGTGCTATTTGTAATGGAATAAAATTTGTAGCCAGACCCCAAGAGCCTGTTCGACTCTTTCTCTGGGTGCTGGTGACCTCTGACCTCTGGACTATAGGGGATGCCCTGTCTCCACCGCTAGGGCTTCCGGGGGCTATTGGGTCTCATCTGTGGGGCCTTGGGTGAGTCTCTGCCCTTCTGGGCTGGGTGGTCAAGAGGGAAGACTACTGTCCTCTGAGCTGGCTCGGTGTGACCGTGAGTCATGCCCATGCTTCCCCGGAGCCTGCCCCTGCTGGCATGCAGGCCTCAGGGAGGTGGGGGTGGGCACGGCCTCCGCGCCTCACAATTCCCACTGCCGGAGCCTCTCAGCTTGCTGCCTCCCAGCCCGTGGAGGTGAAGGCCACAGCTGCTGGCTGGCCTGTGAGGGTCTCTCCCCTTCCCACTATGTCGTGAATTGTCCCTTGTCCTGGGGGCCAGCAGACCCTCTTGAGAACCTGGGGTGGCTCCTTGGGTCTCCCCCTACCCCCTCCCCACGGGCTGGGTGGGGGTGGGAAGGGGCGGGCGCAGCCAGCTGAGGAGCCCGATGATTTCCTGCCCTCACCCAGCGCTCACCACAGCTTCCTGCCACGGGCGGAGGGGAGGCGGGCGCCAGCGAGGGGCAGGTACGGCTGGGGTGGGGGGACCAAGCAGCAGGTGGCTGGAGCCCTGGACTCCAGCCCAGGCCCTGGCCTGACTGCCCTGGGACCAAGGGCTCCCAGAGCCAGTGCCGACCCCCACTCGGCCCATCTAGGGAGGGGATCCAGGGACCCCAAGGAAGGGCAGCTGCCTCCCTGTGGCACCCCAGCCTGCTGCCTCCCTGGCCCTTGCGCCCCACTGGGCCCAATCCTCTCCCTGCTGTGGCTGTGCCCTTGAGGGGCCTGTGGGGTGCAGCCAGCCTGGTCCGAGCTCTGCCCGGCAGATGGAGGGGGCCGTCCTGGTCCCCTGTGTGCTGGGCCTGCTGCTGCTGCCGCTCCTGGCCGTGGTGCTGCTAGCCCTGTGTGTGCGCTGCCGAGAGTTGCCAGGTGAGAGGGGAGCTGGCGGTGTGCGGGATGTTAGTGCCCACCGACGGGGCCCTCACCCCCTCCCCTTTGTCCACCCAACGCTGTCCCTGCCTGTCCTGGTCCCAGGGACTCAGAGCCCCCTGGGCTCTAGCAGGCTCTCCCCACAGCACCCCCTTCCTGCCTCACTGGCTATCTCTTTCCCAGACTCATATGACAGCGCCACCTCGGACGGGTGAGTCTGCCCTGTCCCCCTGGGGCTCTCCCTCAACACCCATGGTGGGGCGGGGTTGGGGCCTCGTTCGGCCCCATACCCAAGCTGTGTCTCTCCCACCAGTTTGTACCCAAGGAGCATCCTGCTCAAACAGCCTTGTGAGTACATGGAGGGTCCCCCACCTTGGGTGTAGGGGAGAGGGTCCCCGGGCATGTGAGTGAGAGTGTGCCTTTGTTCGGCCCCCCGTGACTGTCCACGTGGCCTTGACCTCAGCTGGGCTGGGGGCAGATGGAGTCCCCGGGTGTGTCCAGGGCACGGGAGTTTCAGGGGGTTAGTCTGCCTTTTGAGGCCTTGACCAGGGTAGGAGCAGGATGCCTGGAGTCCTTCCTTCAAGCTTGGTTCTGTGTCCTCAGACATGCCTGCTCCCCGGCCACCTGCCACCTCCTACCCGCCTGTCACCTCTTACCCACCCCTCAGCCAGCCGGACCTGGTCCCCATCCCGTGAGTAGCCCCTGAACCCCTTCCCCTCCAGCTCCCACTCTATCCCCTTACCTCCAGTTGGAGGCCTCCTTCCCTGCTGCAACTCCTCTTCCCACCACCTGAGCGCCACCCAATGCATGACCCCTGACCTTTGACTCCCAGAAGATCTCCACAGCCCCCTGGAGGATCCCACCGGATGCCATCTTCTCGGCAGGATTCAGATGGCGGTAAGTGTCCCATGTGGAGAGGGTGTCTGAGGGCTGGGGCTGGGTGGAAGATGGGCCCCCGCCTGAGCTGACTCAGTTTCCCTCTTGATTTCTCCTGGAAGCCAACAGCGTGGCGAGCTACGAGAACGAGGGTGCGTCCGGGACCCTGGGTGCCCAGGCAGGGTGGGGAGGCTGGGGCCTGTCCCAGATTAGGTGACCCTCATATTGTTACCCCCAGGGCAACCCCATGAGGCTGAGGATGAGAACGAAGATGAGGACGACTACCACAGCAACGAGGGCTACCTGTGAGTGGCCAGGTGGGAGGTGGGTCTGAGGTCAGCCAGGGTCCTCACTCACCTGCCTGTTACTTCCTTTCAGGGTGGTGCTTCCTGACAGCACCCCGGCTGCCAGCACTGCTGCCGTGTCAGCTCCCACGCCCAGCAAGCCTGGCCTGCGCGACAGTGCCTTCTCCAGTGAGTCGTGTTCCCAGCCGCCACCACCTTGTGTGACGCGGGCTCCTTACTCTTCTCTGTCCTGCGATTTCTTTCATGACTGTTACCCTTCTGTCCCCTTGGATCTCCTTTTTGGGAACTGCTATCCTTCAGTTACTGGGCTTCCTGCTCTGCTCTTCTGATTTTCTTACTTTTTCTCTCCTCTTTCCTCTATTTTTCCATTTACTCTCTAAGATTTCCTTGACTTGATTCTTCAATCCTCCTACTGAAATTTTCATTTTTCCTGTTCAAAAGCTCTTTGTTGGTCTCCACATGTTCCTTTTTCATGCCCTCCTGTTCTTGTTTCATGGAGGCCATATCACCTTGTAAATCTCTAGGGAATTTAATTAGAAGCTGTGTGTGTGTGTGTGTGTGTGTGTGTGTGTGTGTGTAAGTTTTCTTCTGCTTCCTGCATTGTCTCAGTTTCCTTTGAGCTGCTTTTCTGCCTTCATCATGGTGTTATTCGCCTGGCCGCATCCTCTGGGCTTGCCTCGATGTCTGGAGATCCTGTTTTCTGTTGCTCCCTCCTCTCTCTGTATACTTGTCCTGGGCTATCACTTCCACACCCTGGCTTCATTTGTCATCCAGATACCCAATTGCCACCTCCGTCCTGAGCTCCAGAGTGTCTGTCCATGTGCCTTTTTCATGCTCGCATTCATTCATTCATTTGTTCACTTGCTGCGTGCCTCTGTTGGGCTGATACCAGGGACATAACACTTAACGAGGCCAACTGTAGTGATAGCATTCATTGAGGGTTTCCTCCCTGCCCTGAGTTTTATGTGAATTAACTTATTAAACTTATTAAACGCCATGGTTCCCAGGTGCTCTTGGGCCTTCTGCTGCCCCTGCAGTGCTCAGTTGTCCCTTCTGTGTGATGGCAGCAGGTTGTTTGTTTAACAGACACTTGGCAGCTCCTACCAGGTGACAGGCCCCATTTTGCTATTCTCTGCTGTGATCTTCACAACAGTCCCATGAATCAGGGACTGTTGCTAGCCCCATTTTACGGATGAGAAAGCTGAGGCACAGAGAGCTTAGGTCACTTGTCTGAGGTGACATGGTTGGTTGATGCTGGAACTGGGGCATTCTGGCTCCAAAGCCCACCATGTCCACATGCTCATGGAGAGACAAGGTGACAGGGAAAAGAACCAAATAATGTGGACAGTGATGGGTGCCACAGGGGCTATGACAGGATGGGCTAGGCAGTGGCTGGTGGGTAGGGAGCAGGGGCCAGGGCAGGAGGCACCTGCTGGGCCGAGTGTGTCTCTCCCTCCACACGTGCCACCAAACTCTTGTGTCCCTGAGCTGCCCTCCGTCCCTGCTCCCCTGCCTGGGGGCCATGCCATCTTGTGACCCTCCTGCTCCCCCACAATTCCATTCGCTGTAGTCAGCCCTGGTCAGGAGGGCCTCCTGTCTCTGTCTGCACCCTGTGTTCTCGTCCGGCCGCCATCACTGCCAGTCTAGCATGCTCTCGCTGCATCCTGTGTCTGCCCTTGGGGAGGCCTGGACACCTGAGGTTGGGGGGTCTCTGGGAATCTGTGGCTGAGGGTCTCTGGTGACAGTGCTGGGGTCGGGCGGGCCCCGTGGCTTCCCTGCAGTGGAGTCCAGTGAGGATTACGTGAACGTCCCTGAGAGCGAGGAGAGCGCAGAGGCATCTCTGGGTGAGTGGTCGGCACTCCCCATGCCTGCCCTGAACCCCTCTGCCCCACATCACTCTCGGTGTGGCCTGACCCAGCCTTGGGATGGCCACCCCCATCCCCGTCTGTCGGGGGGTCCTACTGCCCTCTCCCCCTCAGTGTGGCCACCTCTTCGTCTGACCTGTCCCCACAGATGGCAGCCGGGAGTACGTGAATGTGTCCCAGGAGCTGCCGCCAGCGACCAGGACTGAGCCTGGTGTGTGGGGTGACAGGGGGGGAAGCTGGGGGAGCTGCCTTGGGCCTGGGGGGATGGCCTGCAAGCTGGAGACCAGCCTCCCCTCCCCTTGCAGGGACCCTGAACTCCCAGGAGGTGGAGGATGAGGAGGAAGAGGGAGCTCCAGATTATGAGAATCTGCAAGAGCTTAACTGAGATCTGGTGAGAGGCCCTCCCCGCCCCAGCCCTGCCCTGGGCCTGCAGGCTCTTCTCTCCCCCTAGAGGACCCCCCTCCCAACCCCTGCCCACCACCTCAGGCCCATCCTCTGTGACGCTGGGTGCCCTGCTGGTGCCACTGACCTGACCCCAGGACCCCTCCCTTTGTCCCCTGTCCTGTTGTATTGCAGTGCAAGGCCGTGTCTGTCCTGGAACCAGCCTTGCCTGGGAGGGCCGAGCTGGGCAGCTGGAAGTGGCTCTGGGGACCCCATTTAGTGTCCTGCCCTGGCTCCAGCCTGACGATGGTTTGAAAATTTCCCCCTAACTTATTGTCACTTTGGGGTGCAGTCTGTGTCCCCCCAGAAACTCTGCACCTTCTGACGCAGCCTGAGAATGAACTACCCTGGCCCTAGCCCTATTGTAATAGAATAAAAGCCAGCGTGGTCTGTACTGCTCTTGGCTTTGGGGAGCCCGTGGGTCAGACTGAGCCTGCGGATCCGCGTGTGTCTGTGTTGAGTGTCTGCACTAGTCTGATCCATGGAGCATGAGATCTGTGTGTGTGTGTGTGTGTGTGTGTCTGTGTGTCTGTGTGTCTGTCTGTCTGTGTGTGTCCATCCTCCACGGGGGCCCCCTGCTCCTGATGGCCCTGGCATGTGAGTGACAGCAGTCAGTGGCTGTGACACCTGAGTGAGGCCTTCTGACTCAGGCTGGCCCTGCTGGGGCTCAGAGTGCATCTCCCCATGAGACAGCCCATGGGAATGGCAGCCACTGGCTGTGACGATGGTAGTGCCGGGTGCGGGGGAGCCCTGGGTGGGGAGTGGGTGTTACCAGCAACACCCTTCTCTGCTGGCCCTTGGTTTCTCCTTCCTTGGATCAAGGGACTGGACCTGGTGACCTCAAAGGACTCTCTTTGTTCTTACCTTTTGTGGTTCTCAATAAAATAGAACTTAAAAATTGCCTGAGTAAAAAAATTAATGTGCAGCACAGCACTTTCAGACTTTGATGTGCAGGTGACTCACCTGTGGGTCTTGCTGCATGGCAGGGGCTGACCCAGTAGGTCTGGGCTGGGGCCTGGGACTTTGCAGCTCGGAGGCGCTCCCAGGTGATTCTGATGCTGCCGATGCATAGAGCCCATCTTGACTGGCGAGGGTGGTGGATCCTGTCGTTTTCACTGGATCCACTTCTTTCCCAGTCTCCTTCCATGTGGTGATGAAGATTGGTGGTGAGCATGTGACCCAGACTGGCCTAAGTGTGGGCAGGGCCCCACCTGAGCCGGGGAGGGGCAGCCCAGGGATCTGGGTGGGGAGAAGCCCTTTTTGTTCCCAGCAGTTGTTAAGCTGGGAGGAGGCAGGTGCGAGAGTGACACCAGCGTGGAGGAGAGAATGGCACGGGGCCAGATTCCTGACGGTGTCATTGACTCCTGGATCTGGCCACATCTGAAGCAAGACGCCTGCTCCCACAGACTTCCCAGTTACTTGGGCCAATAAATTACAATTTTTTTTTCAACTGGGTTGATTTGGGGTTTCTGTCACTACAACCAAAGTAGTTCCAGTTGATGTGCAAAGTTGTTGGCGATTCTCTGTGGACACAAAGTTAAGAATAACAGCTTTTCCCTGTGGGGCACCTGGTGCCTGTCTGTGATTATCTTACTGAATCGTCGGGCCTCCTATTGTCAGTCATTGTTAGTGTCCCCATTTCACAGGTGCAGATTAAAGGGATAGGGAGAGCCCAGGCTACTCTGGTCCTGGCCTTGGTGGATTGGGGTGGGACCTTCCCTGAGGCACTCATTTATGTGTCTTGGACTTAGAGAGGGGATATGGCTTTGCTTCCATCAGTCAAAGGACAGAGCCATCAATGTGGTGGGACCTCTGGGACTGGAGCTGGGGGGTCTTAGCACATTGGGGTGGTCAGCGGGCAGAATCCCTACAGATGGAAGCTGGGGAGCAGACATAGGTGAGGCTCAGAGAGGCAAAGTGACTTGCCCAAAGGCACACAGTTTAAGAGGTAAATCTGGAGTTAGATCTGTGGCTGTCAGCCCCCAGGGTCACTGTCACGTTGACCAGTGGCCTCCTTGTCCTGGTTATCGTACAAAGTACCAGCTGCCTTGAACAGGGAGTCTCAGAAGAGGTCCAATTGCAGAAGACAGCACAGAGGATCTGGGAAAGGGACCAACAGGTGAAGTTAAATCCTTTTATTTGGGAGCAACAAAAATGCGTGGAAGCCCCTTTGTGCTGGGCTGAAGGACAAAGAATAGTTTCAACCAATCTAGCAACATCTAGTAAAGCTAAAGATCTGTGCATGCCCCTCTAGCTAGCAAATTCCTGCGTATAAACCCTGACCCACTCTAGCACATGGGCTAAAGAGGCAGGTACACGCAGGCTCAGGACAGCATCATAATGGTTACAGCTGGAAACAACAGACATCTGTGGCTGTAGAGTGGACAGACAGGCAGAGTACAGCCTCACGGCCGGTGTTCGCTGCAGACAGAACAAGTGAAGGGGCAAGGCCCAGCAACACAGGCGGATGTCACAAGGTGGAGTGAGACAGCAAAGCGAGTCACATGTATAAAGTTAAAATCATGTACAAATGATACCAATTGTTGAGGGATATGCATTTACCTAAAAGCATCAAGATAGGTGTAGGAGTGAGGAGTACCAAAGTCAGGACAGTGGTCACCTGGGGAGGAGTTCAAGGAGGGCTCCATGAGATGTGCAATGTCTTATTCTTTTTTTTTTTTTTTTTGAGACAGAGTCTCGCTTTGTTGCCCAGGCTAGAGTGAGTGCCGTGGCGTCAGCCTCGCTCACAGCAACCTCAAACTCCTGGGCTCAAGCAGTCCTGCTGCCTCAGCCTCCCAAGTAGCTGGGACTACAGGCATGCACCACCATGCCCGGCTGATTTTTTCTATATATATTAGTTGGCCAATTAATTTCTTTCTACTTATAGTAGAGATGATGTCTCGCTCTTGCTCAGGCTGGTTTCGAACTCCTGACCTTGAGCGATCCTCCCGCCTCAGCCTCCCAGAGTGCTAGGATTACAGGCGTGAGCCACCATGCCCAGCCTGCAATGTCTTATTCTTGAGTGAGGAGAGGGGGATATAAGTGTTTGACACATTATACTTTTAGTATTTGCAGATCTGAATGGTTTCGTAACAACTAAGAGAGATCAAAGCCCCAGGAGAGAATGGATGAGGGTGGCAGCGTGTGGCATAAACAGCATCAGGAGACAGTGAACAACAGGCCAAGAGTCACCAGCTGGTCTGTGCCGAGTGGATGGAGTTGCATGTGGTGCTCCAGGCCTTACGAACAGTGTATGCAAAGGCCCTGGGGTGTTTGAGGAACTGAAAGAAATTCCGTGTTGTGGGAATTGGAGATGGCATGGAAAGGTGAGAGTGGGTGGAAATGGGGGCTGAGCAGGCATATCCTGAGACCCACGAGCCACCCTTGGAGGCTTTGGAGCAGAGGATCATGTGATCAGATTTGTGTTTTAGCAAATATCTCTGGCTTGGCTAATGTGGAAGGTGGGTGCTGAGGGCTGTTAGACCAGAAGTAGGAAGGCTGTGAGGAGGCTACTGGGACAAGTCACTTGGGAAACAGTGGTGGGACAGCCAAAGAAGTGGCAGGGCCTTGGAGAGGGGTGGGAGAATTAGGAGATATTTGGGAGGTGGAGTCAAGGGACCGTCATGTATGAGGCACAGGAGGGCCCAGGGAGACTCTGGTCCTTGCCTTGGTGGATGGGGGTGGGGACCTTCGCCAAGTCGCTAAGCAGCTACTAATTTGTGTGTCTTGCACCTAGAAAGGGGTGTGGCTTTGCTTCCATCAGTCCATGGACAGACAGAGCCATCATGGGATGGACTCTGGGACTGGAGCTGAGGGTTCTTAGCACATTGGGGCGATCACTGGGGAGAGCCCCTACAGATGGAAGCTGGGGGAAAGAAATAGATTTTTCCTGAATTCTGTGTCCTAGAAAAGGTAGACTTAGTGACAAGTGTGAGAGAGAACATTTTTCTGGAATTGCCTGGGGAGACATCTGGATGCTTGTAAAAGCTACAAGGAGGTAACAGCTGTCTTGATTTGGGTTCTCCCAGAAGCAGGCCTTGAGATGCGGGTTCTAGTGCAAGTAGTTTCTTTGGGAAGTGGTTCCAGAAAACACTGGCCGGGGAGCAGGGAAGTGAGACAGGAAATCCTCTGGTACCACTGGGGCACCTGCAGCTCAGGCCTGCGAAAACACAGGGAACCAGTGTGGGGTTGTCCTGTCTGAGGGAGGGAGCTGGGGTATTTATACTCCCCCACTCAAAAGTCACTGGCCGAGGACTGCTCCTAAGGGGTGTTAATTCTCCAGAACTTCTGGCCTGCTCCTCACACGGGCACAGTGGGCTCTGGGGGCCAGGGCAAGCCCTTGGGCAAAGGAAGGCAGAGGCTGGCAGCCGCGGCAGGGCCAGCGGGAACCGAATCGGTGAGGGGGCAGGCCTGTGGGTGAGGCAGCCACGGCAAATGCTGCAGTAGCTTGCGTTCTTTGTGGTGGTGAGCGCCATTTTCCCCAAAATATGCAGCCCCCCAGCCCTGTGAGAAGCTTCTCAAGAAAGGCTTCTGCAGTCGGAAGAGTCTGGGAGAAGTGACATTCTGTAACACCCCCTCGCAGAGTCAAAATACATAGTAATAAGGTAACGGCTCTGAGCAATCTTTGATGAATATCCTTATTTCTCTTTGCCTAGTACCTCCCAAATTTATTTGACTTCAGAACCTTTTAAAAATGGTATTATTAGCCTTTTTGCAGACTCCTTTTGACATCTAGAGAGAACATCTTTTGTTTTTGCCTTCCCAGCACCCATCCATTCCACCTTCTTCCAATGATGCCATCCCGGTTTCCTCCTGGAAATGTTTACGTCACTCAGTGGAACCGACTCAGGTGTGCATGTGACCCGGGATGGGCCAATCATCATATCCCACTTCCTGGCCACAGTCATTGGTTGATTCAGGGGCACATGACCCCATCCAGGCCAATCAGACCGGTTCCTGAGCCTCTCGGTGGAAGTCCTGGGAGAGAAAAGCTCTTCATCCTCGGGGTTGCCAGCTGGGAGGACAGAGGGGAGGGGCTCTTGCGGGCGCCCACCTGGAGAGGGCCCGCCTGAGAACGAAGGCACCGCAGAGGACGGCGGCGTCAGAAATGGACAATTGATCCGACGGCAGGTCTAGCCCTGGATCCAGTGTGCCTGAAGCCATTCCTCCTAGATGAGACCATCAAATGCCCCCTCCCCTCCGGCCAATTTGAGCCAGATTTTCTGTCACTTGCAGAAAAATAGTCCTAAATGACAACCACGGCTACTATTGTTTCCACCAAATCACAATCACAATCCCTGGTGGCCAATCTAAGAAACTTCCAGACTGACTTTTTCCCTCCTTCTGCTCCCCTGCTTACTGCCCCGGAGGGACACGCGGACAGACATTTCCCGCCAGCTTTCGCCATCCCGCCCATCCGTCTGACAGCCGGGAACTCTCTCCAACACGCTCACGTGTGGCCCACGCGCCTCCCCATCTCCTCCGGAAGATCTCCGTGCTTCCCTTACTCTTGTTTTACGTTTTTCGTTTTATTAGTCTCAGAGATGGCAGGAAATGATTCCAAAGAGGACCACATCTGGCAGCAGGGACGCCGAAATACAAGTCAGGAGACTTAAAGTTTTAGTCCCAGCTGTGCCACTGGAACTCGGGGGGGCTTTGCGGACCCTTGAGGATGTTGGACTTAAGTTCTAAAACCTTTTCATTCTGGGGTGCCTAGCCCCAGACAGGGTCCCTGAAGGTAAAAGAATAGGTTCCCTGCTTTGAGTGAATGAGCACCCTTCTTGGGCTTGGCTTAGCTTCAGCTGGGTTTCTGCCGTTTGCAAATGAAAGTACCCTGACTCATCTAGACAGGATGCTGTGGGAGCACCAGCTTTCAGCAACAAGGCCCCTTCTTCAGGCGCCTGCCATCTGCCACGCACAGTGCCACTCGCTGTACCCACACTCGGTCCCCGCTGCAACCCTTAAGCAGGTTTTCATTATCACCCTTTCACAAGTGAGAGGGTCCCACAGTGCAGGTGGCTGGTCCAAGCAGGGTGGTGGCTCTCCCTCTCTGAGCATTCCAGGGCAAGCCCTGCTCAAGGTCCCTCCTTTCCAGACCAGCATGTCCCTCCTTGGGCCCCTCTCTCCACATCTGTCCCTGAGCATGGCAGGCAGGCGAGGCTGCTCGGCGTACCTCCCCTGGACTTCTCACTGGGGCTGCTGGCCCTGGGGCTTTGAGGGGCTCCACAGCCAGGCCTAAGCCAGGTCCCTGTCCTGGAGGACACAAGGGTTGTGTGAGCCCAGTGGGGTGGCCGTGTAGAGCACTTATGCCTTTGAGGGGGCTGGAGAGCTCCCCAGAGCCCCAGGAAAGAGGGGTTCTGGAGTCTCTGGCTTCCTCCCCCTGGGAGCCCTGCCCTTCTGCCTGCATGCTGGGGGCCCTTGTCCCTGTGTGCCTCCCTCCTTGTGCACCTGGTGGGCCTCTGAGCATTTGTCACCCACTCCCACCTGGCTCTCAGGCTTACCAAGTTTCTTTCTGTTTCTGGGTCCCCCCCAACCCCTCACACCCCAAGCCTGCCTGCCTCCCTGTCCCACTGCTGCTTTGTTTCTGCCTGGTTCTCAGTCTCCCTGCCTCTGTGTGTCTCAGGGTCACCCCTCCCCTTTCTGACTCTGTCTCTCTCTGTCTCTGCTCTGTTTTTGTCTCTTCTTTTGTCTGTCTGTCTGTCTGTCTCTGTCTTGGGAGTGCTACCCCCCCCCCGTCTCTGCATTTCTGCCCTGTCTCTGTCATTCTCTTGTGTCTCTGTGGCTCTCTGTCTCTCTTGTGATCTGTCTCCCTCCTCCTCTCCCTGCCCCTCCCTCCCCACATCCTGAGTTGTCTTTGGGGAACCGGAAATTTGGGGGATCAGAGAGATACTGGGAGGCCGAGCTGCTGCCACCTAGAGATAATGCAGGGTGGGGTGGGGTGTGGGGGCAGGAGCCCAGAATCCGCCGCATCCTCCTCCTGGCCCTGGTCCACGCGGAGGCAGGCAGAGGGATTCGTCACCTCCGCAGGCCTCAGCTCCTGCCTCTGTGAACTGGGCCTTGTGGAAACCGCCTCCCTCAGGACTGGGGGGCTTGGGGTGAGGGTCAATCAAGCAGTCCGACAGAACAGGGACATGGGCAAGTGAGGGCACAGGGGAGGGCGCCCTCCAAGGGTGTCCCAAGTCCCAACGGGCTGTGGAGGGGCTGAGAGGAGGGGAGGCTCTGGTCTGGCATTGGGAAATTTCCAGGTGCTCTGAGCCTGTCCCCTCCCCTCCCTGTGCCTCTGTTGTCTCATCTGTACTGTGGTGGGCGTATTGGGCTTATTTGTTTAACAGACACTTAGCAGCACTCACTCTGTGACAGGCCCCGTTCTAGTGTTCACTGCTTTGATCTTTGCAACTACCCTATGAGGTTGGCCGGCAGCGTGGTGGCTCACGCTGTAGTCCTAGCACCCTGGGAGGCCAAGCCAGGAGGCTCGCTCAAGGTCAGGAGTTTGCTCAAGGTCAGGAGTTGGAAACCAGCCTGACAAAGAGCCAGGCCCTGTCTCTACTAAAAATAGAAAGAAATTATCACGCCTGTAATCCTAGCACTTTGGGAGGCTGAGGCGGGCGGATTGCTCAAGGTCAGGAGTTCGA